TAATAATAATTATTATTATTATAATAATATGTTTCATTCCAAATTTTCTAGTTTTGCATAATTATCAGTAAAAAAAGGCAAAAAGCAAAGGGATTTAAACAAAATGAAGACTTAACAAAACTGCAAGAATTGTAAAAGAGATTAGGGACTTGCAAAAAGTCTCAGCACATAAGGATTAGAACTACAGTAAAATCAATGTATGCTTTAATTTCAATCTTATTTCTGTAGTTGCAAAATAATAAAGACTGCCATGTGCGCACACATTAATTGTCTGGAAACTTAAAAAGGTTTGTTTGGCCCCTCCTTCTCCTCTGCAGGTTAAAGCTGATGAGGATTGATCCAGGAAAAATCTCAGTCCCATGATTTAGTGATACTTTCCAAGAAAAAAAGTTATGTTACTGATACATGTTTTGTGGCTTAGAAATTACACTTTATATTTTCCTAATTTTCACTAATTTCATCTTTTCAAATTGTTTTATCACTTTAATGCAATTTATTCTTCTAACTGAAATTCATAAAACCGAGTCTCTAAACTATATATATATTATATATAATCTAAGTATAATATCTATCCTATATAATATATATTATATATAATATAAGTAGAACATGCCACTGACAGCAAGCCACAGTATGTCCTGCTAAACATACCTCCCAATGTTAGACTTTAGAGGGACAGCAAGGAGAAAGGTTAAAAGCAGTGTCGTGGCAAAAAGTGGGCGTAGCTATATGACGCTTGATATTCGGCATTATTTAAAGGGGCATTGTTAAATAGAGTCTACGTTTAGCCCTCATTCACACGAGTAACAGCTGGCCCTTACAGGTCCCTGCTACGCGCCTGGCCATATAGGGCCGCTCGCAGGAAGGACAGGTGCTGCATGTGAGAACACATGCAGCAGCCTGTTCTTCCCCCCTGAATGAGAGCTAACTCACATCACAGGACAGTCCCACAGAAATCGGGACAGTTGGCGGGTATACTTAAAAACAGGTAAACTTACAAAGCATTATACTGATGGATATATGCAAATGCCTGCGTGGTGATTAAAGTGTAATAAATTATATGATTTCTAATTTGAACAAGGAACAGTACATAAGTCACAGATGTACCAAATGAAAAATCAATTAACAGGCAAAAAGTAAAGCAGTTAATAGTAAAACTATTTTAATGGCAAACCATTATTTCTGCATGTAGGACAAATTCACAATCTCAGCTTAACAGTTGCAAAGTTTTCACTTCCTTTCTATTTTTTATGTAGACCACAATCATTTGGGATGCTCATACAGGAGAAGCAAAACAACAGTTCCCTTTCCACTCAGGTATGGCTGACATATTGTTTCTTGTTCACATATATGAACAGTTTACAAACTTTTACTAGGTCAAATACCACCAGCTGTCTTTTTAAAGCTAGAAATAAAATTTGCAAATGTGGTTATTTTCAAACAGGGCCGGCGTTAGTATACAGGCAACACAAGCAGCCGCCTGAGGGCGCTGGTGAGCAGGGCGGAAAAATCAGCACAGACCCAGCATACAAATTTCCTGAGATAGATCAAAGTGAAGCAGCTCCGTCCTGTGTAATTGTCATGCCCCGCCCCCTCTTCTCTGAATGCTTCACTGTGCCTCACTCATATGCTCTATACTCTGCACTGTCATTTCTCATATGTACACCAGCACTATACAGAAAAATCACATAGCATTCCTATCACACTGCGTTAACTCCACGTTCATGCGGCGTGCATGCCCGTATCGGGATGTTCCTGGGAGGGATAGGTGCTGCATGTAGCAGCCTGTTGTTTTCTATGGGAGGACGCGGCCATATGATGTCATACGCAAAGCCGAGCTGCACATTTGTGCAGGTCTGGGTGTCCGGGATCCATCACATCTGCGTTTGAGCACGGACGTGCATATGACAGCGTACGGCCGCATCCTCCCACAGGGAACACTGTCTCGGGAACGAACGAAACGTGCACACCATACTGACGTGGATGGCTCAACCTAATGCAGTGTGAATGAGGCCTAAAAGGTTTCTACACCATCAACCACTATTTCCGTATCTCACAGCATTAACACGTGCTGCATTTATGCCGCATAATCCTGTCTATAGACATTTCATTTTACACAACTATACTACAACATTTTATTCTTTTTTATTCAGGAATAAAAAATGCTTCACTTTTAACTTCTAACCCTAACTTTATTACACACCTACAACATCCACCCTAAAACATAAAAAATAATAAAAACACAATACGACTGTTTGCCCATCATGATGTCACAGCGCATTCCATACCTCCTAAATCACGTTTAACTATATGCTGACCGCTGTGTTTACACCCCCTTCCTGGCCAGGCCATTTTTCAGTATTCAGCGCTGCGGTACTTTGACTGACATTTATTTCGTCATGCAACGCTGTACTGAAATTAATTTTATACTATTTTTTGGGGACAGATAGAGCTTTCTTTTGGTGGTATTTAATCACCACTGCGGATTTAATTTTTTACTATAGTAAGGAAAAAATGACCAAACATTTTTACATTATGTTATAATACAATTATTATTGTCCAAATTTTTGGTAAAATATAAAAGACGGGGTCATGTCGGGTAGACATCAAACATGTCAAGCTTTCAAATTGCCCGCACCCATCAACATGGGCACAATCCTCGATTTCTCACAGATGCGCACCCGACGCATGTTTGCATGCATGTATGTATGGGTGGGGACTTTAAAAAAAGTTAGATTTTTTTAAATTATTTTTTATGTGTGACTTTAAATATTTTTTTGGGAAACTTTTTTATTTATTTTCTAATTTTTCTTCACTTATTGATATCGCATAGGGGGCTAAGAAAACCCCCATATGTGATAGCAAAGAGAAGTTACAGGTCTTCTTTATGGAGACATCAGGGGTCTCCAAGACCCCTAATGTCACCTAGGACATCCCAGAAAAACTGTCACATGACACTAAAAAAAAGTATTGGTAGTTGGTAATGGCGAGTACTTGAGGAAAAGTATTGGTACTCGGCCTGGAAAAATGGTATTGGTGCCTCCCTACTCCGGTCCATGCCTGTACCAAGGTACCGACATGTAGTAATATCGATGGGAGGCAGAGTTAAAAGACTTCATTTTTGAGAATGTCACCACACGTCTATTCCTCTAAAACTAGAAGCCCCTCTGCCACTATGGCAGACGGGGCTTGTAGTTCCTCCTTCCTGTGGCTGGATGATGTGGCTGTGCATGGTTCTGTCCAACTGTAAAATTAAACAGCAGCCTGTGCGGAGAAGAGCCCCATGATTCAGTTAGGGGGGGAGGTGGGGTTGCAATCTGACCATTTCTCACTCTACATGGGTGTAACATAAAACATGGTCAGCAAAGTTAACTTAGCCTTTAAAGTGCAATTTTCTCCTAGTGAGGTAATGCCTCCATATTTTTTGGTAGACCAAGCAATGTGGTCAGGGACTGCACTAGTGTAAGGCTGCATAGCCAGCTCTCTGAGGGCACGAGGGGGGGGGCGCAAAACTGCACCTTCATCTGAGTAGGCAAAAATCCTGGCACCGGCCCTGTTTGCAAATACAGTTATTTGTTTTTTCTGTTAAAAAAAAACGTGTGTTGATGTTTGGGAGGGACAGTCCCTCTTTTGAAACCTTAAAAGATAGCCTTGGTATATTCAGATGAGCATGAACTCTTCCTGGACCAGTTGTCTGGGTGAGCAAGGGTATGTCTTTTACCTTAAAATTATTTCTCTTTTCTATCTCAAGACAGCTGGTAGGTATGGCTATTCATAGGAAGCCATTGGGTTCTATGACAGCTTAGCTATCATTCACTAAATGACAAGCCCACAGTGTCAATTATAGCTTTAAAAGTTATTATTTTAAAGGTTTGATTTTGGAGGTTATTGTTTAGTGTGTTTTGATGTGTTTCCATTTTTATTTCTGTTTTCATCACTCTGTGGGGTCTGTTTATAAACAATTTGCAGGGCCCATCACACTGCGAATATCTATGAATCTTCGTTTTGGGTGAACAATGCAAAAAAAGATTGTTTCTGATATTTCTTTTCGTGTAATACTACATTATGGCCACTAAATGGAGCTAATGAGCATAGGCAATAAATGCTTAGGGGTCTATTCACAAAGCTGCCAAAGGATCTGGCCGTAGCTTCGGCCGATCCTTCGGCTGGCTTCGGCCCCAGGACCCCTTCGGTTCAGGAGAACCGAGGGGGTGCTGTACGGGCTATTCACAATAGCCCGTACAGCTCCCGATCACGGCCGAGCAGCTCAGTCGATCGAAGCAAGCCGATGTACGGCTGATTTCAGCCGATATACGGCTGAAATCAGCCGTACCAGCCTGAAGTGAATAGCCGAACAGTGTTCGGCTCACTTCACTTCTGATCGGTCATTCACTCGGCTGCCCTCGGCAGCTTTGTGAATAGACCCCTTAGTTTTTCCCCAAGCTATTATATTAAAGAGGAACTTTACCCATATCTTTGAAATGACAACGGCACCTTTAGAAATGTTTAGTAATGGCAAACTACAAACACATACTTCTAGATAATTGCCGGCTTTTTATGCTTTGCATACTTTATATTTCTTTTCCTCTCCATTTTTCACACAGTGGCCATTTTTACTAAGGTTACTAGATCTCCTTTTACTTCCTGGAACTCTGGCACATGTGACTAGGACATGTGATCATACACATCATCTCAGGGGAGGAAAATGCCTTTCCCTGGATCTCGTGAGATTTCCCAGCAATGCTCTGCTGATGTAACCTTCCTAGGATGCAATGCTTGGGCACGACTACATCATTTGTGCCCAAGAGGACCAGGAAGTAGTAAAAAAGACATTGTAAGTAAAATGTTTATTTAACTAATGAATGGTAGATGATTTCATATCAGCATGCAGAGCTGCATGCTGATGTGATTTTTAGTGAAAGGGGGTAAAAGTCCACTATACGCAATTTCCCTCATCGTTTCTAAATAAAGGGCCACAGTCAGTTGCTTAATTTGAACCATGCCCAATCTGTTGAATAAATAAATAAATAAAATAAAAAAGCTTTTTATTTAATATAATTGGGTGGTCTGGCCTAGAACTGACCTGGAAGAAGACTGAAGAAGATTTATAAATATTCAAACTTTTATTTCACTTTCAGCACTTATTAAGTCCGACTGTCCTGTTAGTTAAGCAGTGGAGGGACCGAGGAGGGCACCATTTTGGGGCTTTGCTTAGGGCATCAGTTTCCCTTAATCTGGCCTTGAACTAGACCCTTGCTTTTAGAAACTATATTTAAGGGTTTGATGTTCAAATTGCCAGAGAAGTCTATGTGCAAATGGGTTAACTATAAAGGTATCGAATATTTTTCAGTGCTGTGGAATTCTACCAGGATAATACAATGCTTTTATATTTTGTCTGCAGCTCCAGCCCTAGATGTGGATTGGCAGAACAACACCACCTTTGCATCTTGTAGCACAGACATGTGTATTCATGTTTGCAGACTGGGATGTGACCGTCCAGTAAAAACCTTTCAAGGACACACGGTAACCATTTTATTATTTTCTGCATCAGTTAGCACCCAGATCATGTGTGAAAAAAATGTCAGGCAGAACATGGTACAGCTAGAACAGATCATTTGTTTTTGTGGTACGTTAGTTTTCTTAAGTATAGATGCCAGTGGGAACGAGAGTTTAATATAAAATACAGCTACTATGTGACTATTTTGATGTAATTATTCTTGTGGACGAGTAGGGGTGCTATATACAGTATATCTATTTAAGAACTTTCTCCCTCTTTTGAAAAAAAACATTAACTGTACAGATAAGAATGACAGATTATAAAAAGTAACAGATTCATCCAGCCCTTTCTTGAGAAGCTTGGACATTAAGGACATGCACCCTTGCTAGTCTACAGTGCTGTCATAAAGTGGATTTTACATGAAGCCCATTCTCCTTAAAGGGGAACTTTACCCATATCTTCAAAATAACAACAAAGACACCTTTGGAATTGTTTAGTAATGGCAATCTACAAACAGATACTTCTAGATAATTGCCGGCTTTGTATTCTTTGCACACCTTATTTCTCCTTTCTTCCCCATTCTGACATTGTCCATTTTAACTAAGGCAGGTTATTAGATGTCCCTTTACTTCCTGGAACTCTGGCACATGTGACTAGGACATGTGACCATGCACATCATCTCAGGGGAGGAAAATGCCTTTTCCTGAGATCTCATGAGATAAGATTTCCCAGCAATGCTCTGCTGATGTAGCCTTCCCAGGATGCTATACTTGGGCCATTTGTGCCACAATTTACCAGAAAGTAGAAAAAAGAAATTGTAAGTAAAATAAAAACAAGTTTGTTTAGCTAATGAATGGAAGATGATTTCATATCAGCATGCAGAGCTGTATGCTGATGCGATTTTTAGTCAAAAGGGGTAAAGATCCAGTTTAAGTGACATCTGTTCAGCTCATTATTGCAGTGACTTCTGTGCTGAAGCCTTCAAGCAGAGTCATAGTTTTGTTTTCATTTGTTCAGCTTTTTTAGTTTTCCGCCTTGCTGAAAGAAACCTGTTGTTTACAGAACTGAGTAGCTCAGAGAGGTGACTCATCCCTTATTAAAAGATTTAGGGGTCTATTCACAAAGCTGCCGAAGGATCTGGCCGTAGCTTTGGCCGATCCTTCGGCTAAATTCTATTGGGCGGAGCTAGCTGTCACTGCTAGCTCCACACAATCGTTTTCTATTTACTTTTGTTTATTTTTTTCACTCTTTTTCTGTTCTGCTGTTCGGCATCTTTAAGAATAGCCCCAACAGCAGTGAGAAGCCTGCCGGAGGTTCGGCTCAGCCGATCCAGATGTTGGATCGGCTGAGTCGAACTCCTTCTGCACTTCGGGTCGGCAGGAACATGCCGAGGATGTTCGGCCGACCCGAAGCCACGCGAAGCAAGCCGATGTACAGCTGAAATCAGCCGTACCAGCCTGAAGTGAATAGCAGAACAGTGTTTGGCTCACTTCACTTCAGATCGGTCTTTCACTCGGCTGCCCTCGGTAGCTTAGTGAATAGACCACTTAGTCTGATGATTCAATCAAACAAATCCAGCCTCAAGGCAAGCAGCTTCTTTTGTGCTTTCTCTTTAGCTAACCCATAGCACTATAGGGAGCCTTTGACATCAGTTACATGTTTATTTGTAAAACAATGATTGCATAGATATGGTTAAACAGATATAAACCAAAGTTTTAAATGTTTTAAACTTAAAGCCGAGTTCCAGGCAGACATTGAAAAAACCAATGAATTCAATTATGTATTCATTTAAAAAATCATTACATTTTAAATGCATCTAGCTTGTAATCCCCTGTAGAGCAGTCCTCAAAGGGAGGGGTAGCACTTGGGGCCAGTCAGGTGTGCTGCATTTATTGCTGGTTCTCCATTGTCCAACCCGAGGGTAGGAAGGTGACCTAGCTGTGTTGCTTAACTAAATTTCAGGTCAATATCTTCACTGTGCTCCTGTCTCAGGATTGAATGGACAAAAATGTACCTGTCAGAAAACATAAATTAATAAATAAATGATTGATATATATATATATATATA